CCCAACCCTACATGCTAACATGCTAAAACCTGTTAAAACCCACCTCAGAGGGCAACTACGATGATGAACATAGTAAACATTATATAACCTGCTAAACATCAACATGTTCGCATTAGCATTTAATTCATAGTGCAGCCTCGCAGTGCTGCTAGCGTGACTGTTAGCGTGACTGTTAGTCCTGTTCCCTTTTAAGCTTTAAGGGTCATTCACATTATCCTCTTTTTTTTTTCTGGACTGTCTCATGATATTGTCTTCCTAGAAAGTAAACACCGAATGTCAGACACATCTTTTAACATTACTTCTCTTCAGATAATCACGCCGCCAGATTAAGAAGCCGCTTTGATCAGAGAGGATGAAAGATGATCCTTATTAGTGCTAAAATCAGTGTGTTCTCTTTTAATGCTCCTCATTAAGTCCGCTGTCTGTTTGGGTTTAGCCACTTGGACGTGTTATGGAAACGGCTGAAAGCCTCACAGGATTCACGAGTTAATTACCTGCATTAATTAGTTTGGCACTTTAATAGGCTGGAGCAGCGCCGAGTGGCTGAGAGGGGGGAACATTATCGAGCAGTTTCGAGCTGCGAGGAAAAATGGTCCACAACGCCACAAGATCCGTCTTTGTGCTGTGATTCAGCAAAAGCAGAAAAAGGGCAGGTTACTACAGAGCAGAAACACACCCTACATTTAAAAGATGCAGTCATAAACAAAATACCACGCTTACCTAATATATAAGTGATGGCATTTTCTTGGGGCGACACCCACTAAAAAGGAGAAGCTACATGCACAGTGCTGACAGAGATAAAGGCAGAAACCGGGGAAGACGGGGAGGTTGACTTCATCCAGATCGAAGGATAAGAGCACAATAAAGGAGGATGTGTGAATAAAGAGATGGATGGATGAAATTCAATAGTGTGCCACTCTGACAGCAGTGTCATTGTGAACGTCTTTTATAAACCGACCTTTTGGTGAAAAGCCTCGTTAGGGTTGTTGATTTGTGTCAGCAGACCATTAACAGGGGTATGTGTGTGTGTGTGTG